AGACTACTGAGTCACTTCGAATATATATATATATATATATATATATCACACGATGATGTAATACATAGGCCCACTTAGCTGATTCAATTTGATACCCGTACTGTTGTGTTATTTGCAAGACACGTGCTGTTTGTAATATCTGATGCTACCTAACTAACTCAATGTGTTAACCTGTACTAATTGCGCTATGTATGTACTATTGTAATATTGAGATTACCTTACTTCTGCAATACACGAGGCCACCTAGCTGAATGTGTGCTATTTGTATGACTTATGCCCATAGCATCTAGCCCCATAATTTTGAGTGTGGATTGTGACGATGTAACAGGGGAGGACGCCGAGCTGACTTTATTGGGTATTTATACAGTTGTTTGTATAATTCAATTCATTTAACGCATTTGAAGTGTATGTAACAGTATCATTGCATGTCACGTGCACATCCAACAGTCAACAGTGGGTGTCACACATGTATTTTTATTTATTTACTTGCTTTTTGTAATTTTGGGCTGGTGCATTTCTTCTAATTTATTAATTAATTTCGTGTGACGCTTCCATGTACATGCTTTTTTCGTTTGTATTATGTAATGTATATTAATTAGTTCTCTCATACCTCTATCGGAGGAAGCAAAGGGAATAAATTATTAATATTAAATTATTATTACACAAATGTAACACACGATGACCACAAGAGTTTTTCATGATTGTGATAGCATGCCCGTTTTGGGATGAAAATATACTACATACATGATAAAACTCAAAATTTACAATCACTTATGTTTCAGCTCATGATATTTCCCTTTCAACATGTAGCTACGTTAGCCAGGGGTTCCAGGCACACATCCCACATATGTCATTTTATGACAACAGTAATAATAATGGATGTTCCTCAATCACATATTAAATTGATAACACATCATATTGTGGGTGATAGTGTGCTCGCAAATATCTAGTAAGCCGTGAAGTAAGACTGAACTTTTATCAGCAGATTGAAAAGAATTGATTGACAAAGCACCATCCCATGATCAACACGGTTAATCAAACGATGGCGGTGATGATGGGACATACACTTAATTGAAATTTATCTTAATTGAATATAGATGTTTGTGATTGTGTGACGTAAATAGAATCTCTATCAATGAATACATGTAGCAATGGCTCTATGACGTCATATAATTATGTACTAATAGCAATACTTATCAAACAGTAATTGCTGTAGTTATCTAAGTCTATGTTTGACTTCACGTAACAAGATGACATATGTCAGAATAGATGTCACTCAGAAAGTCATTGAAAACGTATTTCCGATATAACAAAAGATATTGGATGGTCCTCGCAATTCAGAATTATCTGTCAATAACTTGCCGAATGACGCCAGTTTCTTTAAAAAAATGACAATAAATTATTTAAATACTAAATACCCAGCTCATACATACACCAATCTCAAACTAACTGTTTGATTTCCAGTTGAAATTATAATTGGTAATGGCTAATATGACAACACATCAACACGTGATACGTGACGTCATCACTATACGGTGGTTCATTGCAGTAAGCACAATTTTCAAAGTAAGTTTCACTGATTTACGAAAGTTTCTGATTCCGGACTACGACTAGATTTTCTCGTTCACGGTTTTCACGTTCACTAACAAATATATCCAGACGAATAGCACAAGGGCGATGAACCATACTACTTTTAAGTCGACATGTTTAGAATGAATTCGTTATTTGCGGCATTTTTTAAATATCAACAATCGCTAATTCTATTGGAGACACTGTATATATCCTACACAACCATGTTAAACATACGTGTGAACACACTGGCAGTCCATCTATAGAGAGACTGTGATGAGAGGTAAAACGTTTGTTTTTTTCAAGGAAGTACTAACCCCCAAAAATATATGCTACTGACACCGACTATTTACGATAACGCTGCTCGAGATGGACGAAGCTACATTGGTTTAGCGTATAGTACAAATTATTTGCGCTACTTTCCATTTGCCTTATTAATATTATAGTTTATGTTCACCGCACGGGGATATATCTTCGCTTATACATCAGCACTCAAAACCACCGTTCTCTCGAATCACACCTTGTATTCACATTTGCCATTGCCTTTGATGGTGCTTTCAAATTAACGAGACCAAGAAGGCAGAAGAAGGAAGAAATATACTTTTATTAACTTAATTAAGAAACTACAGAATATGACTGATATCTTCTAGTAGAAAGAGCCAGGCACAGGTGAGATAGAGAACAACATTCAGCTTGCGAATACCATCTACATATCTACGCATGCGCATTCTTTACATTTGAAAGACAGTGAAGCGAATCTTTTTTTTTTAAACTTAATATCTTGTTCTAATCCCAAATTTTGATAGTTGTATATATAGTAATTATTAAAATTTATACATATTAACTCTTGATTTAAATATTGTAGATACATGTTAAATTTGTGGGGTGGCTTGCTAAATTATTGAAGGAAGTTTACGGGCCATTCGAAATTAACGAGTATAGCACTCTTCCAAGCAGGTGTATGTTAATTAAGATAATAAAAGTAATACGATTCAAATTCAGCCGTCACATTGAAAACGTACACCTTTTAACAGTGTGGACATGCGCAGTACGCAAATTCATATAATTCGAAATAGTATTACTGTAACTTCAAGGTGCTTGGAAGAAATGTTCGATCCGGAATCTTTAGAATATATTCATTTGTTATTAATCTTTGTCAAAGGCAGCGACAAAAACAAAAGCAGGATAACTGTGTACGTAACCGTGATTTGCAAGACGGTAGGAATTATCTGTAAATAAAAAAAAAGGAAAATACTCAGGGTAAAAGATATATATATATATATATATATATATATATATATATATATATATATATATATATATATATATATATATATATATATATATATATATATATATATATATATATAT